AGTGGCGGGAGAGATGGTGCTTGGAGACAGGAAAAATAAAAAGATTTACCTGTAAGTACTTCAGCTGTCGTTACGCTAGATTCTACCGCAGGGCAGAAGGTCCAAACTGCTGATTTCAGAAAGAACACAGCAGCCTCTGTTGATCTTTTTGGGCTGCACCTCTGAGGACATCAACAGGTTTCCCGGCCACTGGCCTCAGGGAGGCTGAGATCTGGCCTATGCCCACCATCTTCTTGTCACCAACCAGCTGTGCCCCCCCTTACTGCCAGTGGGGGGACACTGGCTGATACCTGCAGCCACCCAGGCATGTGAGCACTTCCTTTTTTCGAGCTGAGAAGCTCAAAACTGGTCCAAAAAGTCAGAACTGGGACTAACTTTTGAGGGGTGCTCTTTCTCCTATCACCTCTCTCTGAGAGTTGCTGCCTCAGAACAGCCTGGGGAGAGGGGCAGCCAACACCCCCACCACCTCGCAGGCACCACTCGAGTTTCAGCCTCTCCCATCCTCAGTTTCCTCCTCTCGCAAATTGAGATGCTATTAGTACCCTCTGCTTATTTTTGCTGTCAGGATCAAGTCAGGTCTTTACAACCAGAGGAAGTATTTTGAACAGCGACCGCAGTCACCATGATCACTGCAGGGACAGCAGAGGGAACTGGATAGGAGTGTGGCCACTTCTGTGTGCTTAGGCCAGTTACCCAACCTCTCTGAGCCCTATGGTTGTAAGGGCTAAATGAGGTCATGCCTGGCACAAAACGACAACGACTAAAAAGCTGGTCGTTTTCCATGCCAGACACTATGATGGGCTCACCGAATTTTCATCTCTTGAGGCATGGGCTAAGTGTCAACTGGAATTGATTGGAAGTGGCTGCCTCAGCAAGAAAGTGCGTGATCCATTAGTGATGTCTGCAATGGGCAAAAATGGGAGGGTGGTGGTTTACCTGCCATCTATTTGCTCACCTGTCACCCTGGAACAAATTAAATTTACAGGACCCTGCCAACTTTGATATTCCTTAAATTAAGAGTGTTAAGAAGTAGGGATTGGGAGAAATTTAAAAAAGAAGTTCCCATCCAGTTCTACTGGCTCCTGTGATGAGGAGGGTAGAGGAAAAATTAAGTCTCCAGACAGGATGGGGGCTCCCTCTTCTGCTCAAGGCAGAGGCCATTCCTGAGGACCCAAGGCCCTGATGCCCTTTCTACAAAGGAAAAAAACACATAGGAAGTTGTCTCCATACAGCAAGACTTTCCCTCAACCCACAGGAGGCGTGCCCTATCACCCCAAAAGTCCAGAGTTCAGAGGACACACAGGCTCTCAGGCAAAGGAGACGCTGAAGCCTGCCCAGCTTTCTAGAAGGTTCAAGTGCCCACGTGAGACAAAGGACACTGCTCTCTCCTTAGCCTTTGACTGTGTCGAAGCAGGAGGCAGGAGTCCTGTCTTAAGAATCTTCCCCACACTCTTCTGTCTCCAGTGTTAAGGGACTATCACCACCCCAGCTCCAATGCAGCCCCACCAAAGCTTGAGCAACTCAGCCCAGAAGTGACAGCAGAATTTAAAATCCACAGTGGGAAATGTAACCCCAATATCTCCCTGGCTGGGGAGTGGTGGGCAACTCATCAAACTAAGCCTCTTTTCTTGTCTTTAAAAACAGGCGAGATGATCCACCTCTTAGAACTTTGCGAGAAAATGTGTGCAAAACTTCTGGAAAGTTGGAAGGTTTGTCTTTGTTCCTTTGTCTCACTGCCAACAGGCTTCCAGGGGAAGAACTGGGGGCTCCCCACAAACCCCACCGGCTTCTCTGAACGCTGGAGGCCATGACGAGTCTCTGACCACGAGGGGGCGCTCGTTCCCAGCAGGCTCGCCTTAACTAGGCGGCCAGCTTTTGGGGGGGTGGGGCGGGGAGACGGATTTACAAACTATATTACATCACTTGTAAGACGCAACCCAATTTTTGAAACCCTTTAAATTTAATACTGTTTTAAAATTACACCTGATCTGTTGCCAAGGTTTCCACTACAGATATAAGAAAAGTTGTCTTCCTGTTTTCTCTCACTTTGGCAGCCAAGATGGAAGGGGGCGGAGGGGGGGAGGGGGAAGGGAGGAGAGATATGTAAGAGAAAAACAGGGAATTTTTGCAACTTAATCTCGTAAATTAAATCTCTTGTTTTTCCCTAAAGGAGATAAAATTTGAGTTTAAAAAAGTAAAATTATGCCTGAAAATTGAAATGTGTTAAAAAGCTCTTGCAGTTACAAGGAAAAGAAGTTTCACGGGAAAGCAGCCCCTGGCAGACCAGAGCCCCTCACCGGCACCCCGACCCCACCACACACTTCCCGGCCCGCAGGGGACCACGGCAGCCTCTTCAGCCCATCCCCACTGAGTAGCCACAGGGAAATTTTGAGGACCCCAATAAGGTTGTGGGCCCCTTCTATTAAAAAGCCTTGGAGGGCCCTCCCTGCTGGTGCAACCTGCTGAAGCACAGCACTATGAAGCTACCGCAGCCCCTGCAGCAGAGGTTCCGGCCCCTGCCAGCGAGATGACGCGGCAGATCTCTCCTGGCCTGCCTGCTGCTCCCCTCAGGAGTGTGTCTCAGTTAGTCATCCTGTTCTGCTCCACCCTCTGTCTCTGCTGAATTCTCTCACCACCCCTCCACCTCTAGCCTGTACCCCAGTTCTGTATGCATAAATAAATAAATCTTAAAAAAAAAAAAAAGCAAGGCCTTGGAATTCCCCAGAGGAAAAAAGTCCGTGTGACCAGGCCCCTCCTAAACCCCTGAGTCTCTCCCTTCCTCTGTCCACCCCACTGAGACACTTGGCCCCCCAATGCTCTAGAGATTGCCAATTCAGCCCCCCAGGGGCTTGTCTCTGCGCAAGACCCCTCCCTACTACCCCACAAAGACCTGCTGGCACCTGTTCACACAGGCTCTCCTTCCTGCATGCCCTGGGCCCAGAACCTGCCCTGCTCTGCCTCACTCCCAAGGCACAAGAACTGCCCCCTACTGTGGCTCTATGGTCAGGCCCTCCGGCCTCGGTGACCCCCGGCCTGGCCCCAGGCCCTCCTCACCCCTTTGCCCCAGCAATGTCCTGACAGACTCTGCGCTTGCTTCCACACCTCCCGCTCCAAGACCCACTCAGGCCTGCAGACCCATCGGGACCTGCCCACCCTAGAATCCAGAAAGAAACCAGACACTTAGAACCATTTGGGACCTCGGGCCCCAGCACTCTCCCCAGCGGCTCCCCCAAAGACTCGGGGCTCGCAGACAGGCTGTGTGGTCCCTCATTGGGGAAAGATACTCCAAAATTCAGTGGGGGCTGGTGAAGAGAGGACACAGAGGAGGGACCAGCTGAGCCCTGGAAGCCATTCCAGTGCTAATATTCGGGACCCCCCAAAGGTGGGTAGGCCCAGACACCAAGCCGGGGACCCAGAGGGCCAACATGGTGAAGCCCCAGTGTAACTGACCAGTGGCGAATGGACCAGGCCAGGTCCTTTGGGTGGGGGGAGGACTGAAGGCTCCCTAGCTCTGCTCCTCTGGACCCTGGGATCCCCTGAGCTCAGAAGAGTCACTGTTCACCCCCTTCCCTCCTGCCTATCAGGCCCCCACTGCTCAGGCAGCTCAGGTCATTTGAAGGGATCCTTGAATTGGAGAGCGGCGTGAACTGTAGCCTCCAAAAAAAATACTACCCTTGTGGACTCATTTGGAAATAGGGCCACTGTGCGTGTACCTAAGCAAGATGAGGTCCTGTGACAGTAGGGAGAGCCTCGCCAGTGACTCGTGCCTTGTAAGAGAGCCTCGCCAGTGACTCGTGACCCCGGAACAGACAGAGGCCTTAGGGCTGCAGCTGCCAGCTAAGCGATGAGGGCTGGCTGGGGCCCCCAGAGGCCAGGAGAGGTGAGGGGGGATCCTCCCCTGCACGATCCAGCAGGGTCACCAGGGTCTCTGGCCCCACACTTCTGGCTGGCAGAACCGTGAGACACATTTCTGTCAGTTGCAGTACCTGGCTCCTGCGGCGCCAGAAACAGGTCGGGGACGACAGGGCTCAGCTGCAGGCGTGTTTGGGTCTGTGACCTGCTCTGGGGCCCTGACTTCTGCATCCAAGCATGGAGGGCTCGGGCGGCTTTCTGTGGCAGGAGGATATGGTAATCCCAGGGGGGAGGCACAGTGACACAGGGGTGTCCCTCTGGCACCCTCGGAAGTGCAGGATGTGCAGGATTTCCACCTGTGCCCCTGAGGGATGAGCTTTGGGTGGAGGAGGGCTGGCGGGGGTGCAGAGACCCCTGACTACTGCTATTGCCAGGACCCCAGAGCCCAAGGGACTGGAAGTCATTGGTGGCCGGGCCAGGCTGGGCTGGTCCTTGTACATGGGACACACAGTTGGTCAGCACAGGGCTCCCTGCAGTGGAGTGGGGCGAAGGCGCCCTGGAAGACAGGTGTATGCAGGAGCGGGAGGGGGCAGCCGCGTGGCTGTGGGCCTCACTCTTGCCTTGAGGGGAACCAAGTCCCCACGCTGGCCCCTCACCCCTGTGCCAGGACCCACCCACCACATGACCCCCAAACAGCTGCGCTGAGTGTCCTATGGGCTCTCCCATGCATCTACCAGGGGAAAGTGAGCCAACCCCAGAGACAAGTCCTGGTGCCTGGAGTGGGGGGAGGGATACACAACCCTGCGGGACTCCAACATCTGAGAGCATTTATTCTCTTCTCCAGGACTCTGGCAAAGATCAGCTTCACCAACAAGACAGAACAGGGACAGCCAGGGCAAGTCCCTCCCCTCTGCCCGGCAGGGCTTCAGCAGGACCCCATGGGCCTGGTCACCTTGCAGGAGGGCTAAGGAGAGGGTGGGCCTCAGAAGCTGGCCACAGTGCCCGTGCCCACGGAGGACAGGGGGTGGCCTCCATAGGCCTTGGGGACTGTTTGGAGGAAGAAGGGGTGGAGCTGGGAGACACTGACCCCGGTAGGATGTCCTAGACCTGGACTGGAGCGAGGACTCGGTCTGGACCGCGGAGGCCGACTAGGGCCGCGGCGAGGAGAGGGAGAACTGCAACCTTGGGGAGGAGGGCGTGCTGGACTCGGGGACCTCAGACAAGGAGGCCGACAAGGAGATGGAGCAGGAGGGGGAGAACAGGGACATGGCGGTAGGCGTGCTGGTGGACGTGGCCCTGGCAGCGTTCACCTTCCTCCAGGCCTTGAGCGAAAACCTGCCCTGCTGGTCCAGGGTGGTTTGCAAGAAATCAGGCTGGCTGGTGGGCACCAGCTCATTGAAGTGAAGACTTTGGTAGATCTGGGGCGAGATCTGTTGAGACAGGACAGGGAAGTATTAGGGTGAGGGGGTCTCTGGGACTGAGCACGGCCCAGGAGCTATGGGCCCTGGGGTCCCCCACACAAGACAAGTCCCTGGAGCACCGCAGTTGTCTTGGTGACCACGGCCTGCCAGGCCCGCAGCCCTCTGTGTGCCAGGCCCAGCACTCAGCCCCTGGGTGCCGCAACAACCCCGTGAGCGCGGCATCGACTGGCCCCATCTTAGAAGTGGGATCCAGGTGCGAGGAGCCCCCAGGTGTGCTCCCACCTCTGCCAGCAGCGCCCAGGTGCGAGAAGCCCCCAGGTGTGCTCCCACCTCTGCCGGCAGCGCCCAGGTGCGAGAAGCCCCCAGGTGTGCTCCCACCTCTGCCAGCAGCGCCCACCACGCTGGACTTTGATACCCACCTCCAGAACAGGTGGGATGTGGCACCACTGACCCACCCTCCTCGTGTCCTCTGGCCCCACCACAGAGGAGCACAAGCCTGTAACACCCATAGGGCAGAGGGGGAGGGAGATGCGCCGGACGCCCCAGCGAGAGGCAGTCTGGACCTCAAAGCTGGCCTTTCCTTCTATCCCCCCATCTCTGACTGCACGCTTGGCTCCGTGAGCCTCCGTGTCTGCTTGGGAGATGCCACACAGACTCTGGGGAACACACTGAAGGTTACGGACAGGCGCCAGGCCTGGGGGCCTCCTCCCACAGGCCCAATGGGCATATCTTCAAGGACAAAGCTTGCGCCCGTGGCCTGAGCCAAGATCTTGGCAAACAACCCAGTCAGAGAAGCTTCATTCTAGAACTGTCTGTGGCTCCGAATCCTGTTGAGGACCTATGGCCCCCTCACCCCCACTGGAGGGCCATGTGGCACAAGGGTGACCAGTGATAGAGATAGAGTTCCCCAGCTCCAGCCCCCCACCCCCCACCCGCTCTCAGGAGCCCGGGGTCCTCACCTGGTACCTCATCCAGCCATACTGCACTTTGGTGAACAGGAGCTCCGGGCTCCGTGACTGGTCCCTGGGCTTGTACGCCGCTCCGACGATTTTGCTCTCCTGCAGGAGTCAGGGGCAAGGTGACGTGAATGCTGAGAACGGGGGCCCCTAGGGCTGTGTCCCCCGCGAGCCTTACCTGCTTGCCCTTGGACTCCCATTCCCGCCAGCTGTTCTCTATGTCCTCTGGGGAGCGCTCTCCCGGCCAGGGGGACTTGGAGGAGATCATTCGCAGTTTGGCCCAGGCTTCAGCCTCCTTGTCTTCTTTCCCATTCAGGAGAGCCAGGAGGGCGGCCTGCTCCTGCCGCTGGTACACCAGGGCCTCAGCAAATTCCCGCTCCTCTCTGATGGTGGGTGGGGGGTGGGGGTGGGGAGACGTCCTTCACAGGAGGCCCTCCCACCACAAGGTGGGACAGCCCTCCCAGCAACCCCAAGAGGGTTTCTCCCTTCCAGAATTGACCCTCCCAACCTCCTCATCCCTCCCCTGAGGCCATACTCAGCCAGGGTCTACCACTGAGCAGGTGTTCAATGAATGTTAGCGAAACCCCCAATTAATCTGGCCTCCAACAAGTCCCGTGACACTTCCCACCACCCTGTGCCCTCCTATATAAAAGCCTGACACCAAATTGTGGCCTTACCTGGACCTCCCTGCACAAAGTCCCTCATATCCCCTTCCATACCTTATCTGGTCCCCCACAGGACTGTAAAGAGATGCGCCCTGCCAGGATGCGCCAGATGTGTGCCTGACGAGCTCCTACTTATCTGTCAAAACCCAACTCCAACATCCCTCTCCTATGGCGCCTTTTGACTTGCTCCACCCACCCTATGACCGTCTTCCCAGCCATCCCTACTCTGAGCAGTCCCGTCGCGTATCACACAGAACAGCAGCCATGAGTGTGCAAGCCCACAGCCCCAAGTGGACTCTGGGTTCTCTGAGCCAGGACCTGTAGCTGAATCGCTTGGGCTCTCCAGAACCTAGCACAGGGCCTGGCAATCAGCAAGCTCTCAATAATTCTTTTTTGAATGATCCAAAATTATGACTTGGTTAGGAATAAGGGTGGGGCGCAGACAGAAGAAGAACGTTCAACAAAGGAACAAGCAGCCAGTGGCCTCCCCAGGAATCAGAGCAAGAGCGCAAGCAGCTAGCTGTTCAGGAGCTATAGCTGCCGGGAGCGCTGCCCACACAGACTGTGCTGCAGGGAAGTCGGTGCTGGCCAGTCTGAACCTAGCCCTGGGGCAGGGATTTTAGGGCTGGATTTTGTTATGTTGTTGAGTTGGGGTTTTTTTTGTTTTTGTTTTTGTTTCTCCTGCTAGTTTGTACTGTTCCGTCTTTCAGCTGAGCTGACTCAGACTACACAGCCTCGACTCCAAGGTCACAGCTGCCACCGTAGGGTAGTAGTTACCCACCGGTCCTTCTGCGGGCCCTTCCGGAATGTGCCCAGCACACTCAGCCCAGGCGACTGCCGGGAACCTCCCAGCCTCGCCTCCCTCTCCAGGCCGGAGGAGGCAGGTGGCTGCGGTAACTCACGGAAGCTCTGGGAAGAGGTCCTTCTGGGTGGCGTCTGTGAGGTCAGCTTGCTCCGGGATGTTCCTTCTCAGTTCATCATCACCAACTGTCTCAACGACCTGCAGGCTCTTCCAAAGACTCAGGCCAAACGTCCCTGTGATTTAATCAGACCCAACTCAGTGACAAGGTCTGATGGAGCCCCTCCCCGAACCTCTGCCCTCTCTCCTGCCCCTGGCCCTCTCCTGCATTTCATGATGCCCGCCATGTGCTAGGAACTACGCGGACACCTGACAAGTATCTAGAGGACTCAGACGCCAGCCCTGGAGCTTAGGCCTAAAGCGCCCTGCCATGCGCACGGCTGCAGTGGAGAGCAGTGACCAGGGCCCTGGGTGGGGCCTCAGGTACCTCACGTATAAACGGCAAAAACACCAGGTGTCCATCCCAGGTGAGTTTGGGGGTGCGGCTAGAAAGGAACAGGCTGGACAGAAAGTGAGGAGCGGGAGTAGAGAAACACAGGGCTGCTGCTGAGCAGGGTACAGTGAGTCCTAGGTCATCTCCTGCTGCAGAATTTACAAAATAGCACAAGTGTGCTGTATAATCCTATTTCTAAAAATCAGTGGAGAAACGCAGACGCAGAGAAGGCGAGATGAACCGGAGGGAAAGGGCTTCCAAGGAGAACTAGAATGAAAGCGACTTTCTCCTCTGGGAGCATCATCCGAGTCTGGGCACAGGCTGGTGAGAATTGGGCTGGGTCCAGGAGGCCGGAAGCTTCTGGAAGGAAGACTCATGGCTGGTAGATTCAGTCTGAGGGGCCCCAGGCCTCTTCCAGCAGGACCCTACAGAGCATGGGGGTGGGGCAGCTTGGGCATCTGGGGTTTGGGCCTGACACAGAGTGAGACCATGGGGGACAGAGACTGGCTGGAGGGAGAAGCCAAGCACACACACAGCAGAATCCACCTTCAATGTGACTGAAGACAGTTGTGAGGGGCGTTGAGAGCAGTTTGCACTCTGGTGCAAGAGCACACACGGTAACCCCCCTTTGAAAGACTGTTCAGCAGGATCTGCTGAGACCAGCTACAGGTACCCCGTGATTCATCATTCCATTCCCAAGTAGACAGTCGTTTACCTGCATACGTTTGTCCAAAAACATCTGTGTAAGAATGTTCACAACCCAGAGCCCACCCCCAGCGACGCAGACTTTACGGCCTATCAACAGCAGGCTCTGTCGGCCCTGAGGATGAAGGAACACACGGAGGGCTGAAGAGCACAGTACGGTGGTCGCCAAGGAGAAGCTACCCCATGATTCCATCGGAACAAAGTTCACAGCCAGACAAAGCCGAGCTCTGCCTGGCGGGGCTGCTGTGGGAGATGAGGGCGGGGATGGCTGTGTGGAGGAGACGTGCTCCAGTCACGTTCTGTTGCTTGACGCGATGGCTGACTTTCTGAAAATTCTCTAAGCTGAAGCCTTTTAGTTTGTGTGCTTTTCTCTACATATGTCATAATGCAATGATTAGACAGAAGGTTCTTCATCAGTTAGATAAATTGCAAAAGCATAAAAAGGCAAATAAAGTGGGGTGGGTGGACAAATGGTGGCTGAGTGGGCGACTGCTGGGTGGACGGCTGGGGAGACTCACACCTGACGTTACTTTAAGCCAAGGCAGCTGCTGTTGCCTCAGGCCCACCCCCCGCTCCTGTGTCCAAAGCTTGTGCCAGCTCCCTCCTCACAGGCCAGGGCCAGGGCCAGCAGTGGGCATGGCTGACCTCCGCGGGACCCATACCAATGGCTTCACCGGACAGTTTCCAAGCCTTGACGTCCCAGTCCTGGCCGGCACTGATAACCACCTGGAA